CAGAGCCTTGGAAGCCTCTGGAGCAGGCTGGCACTGCCACCTCACACCAGTGCCCCTCAGCAGTACTGCAGTCACAGACCTTCCTGGCTTCTGCTGCACTTCAAGGCTTAATTACTGTTGGAGAGGTGATTCACAGATGAAAAATACAAACCTGTAACCACCCCAATGAACAGGTCGGTCAGGAAGTGGCCTGACCCACGGAAATGCTTTGCTGGATGTTCCCCCACGGCCTCAGAGGGCACGTTTCTGCTGCACTGTGCTAGTTTAGTTCACATGCTACATTGCAAGGAGCTGTAGGGACAAGGTATCCCAAAACATCCAAGCATACCTGGTGATCTGCAAGAGCAGCACCAGCTCGGGGGGCAGAGTCAAGTGCCTCAGTCCAGGGAAACACACATGGTGTTGCCAAAAAGACCAAAGACAGTCCTGAGAAATCAACTTGCAGTCAGTGTCTCAGGGTCTCTGGTTCCTTCTCCTTTGCCTGTTAAATTATTTCTTCTCCCCTTCACTTCATAAACTGCAGAACAGTTCCTCACAGATATTTGTAATATTTATTAGTATTTAACATAATAAATAACCCCTTCCTTGGGCCCCTTGGGCCCATTTGTCCCAGCCAGTGCCACCCCAAGAGCTGTACATCAGCACAGCAGGGGAGGGTGGTGACATATGGTGCTGATCCATCACCCAGCTCTGGCTCCCTGAGGCAGTTTATGGGAGGGCAGGTGGATACTGGGGGCTGAGGAGACTCTGAGGAGCTTTGACAAAACCAGCTTCCCTATCTGGGTAAATAGCTTGTGCTCAGACCAGTGAATAATGGCCAAACTGGGCCATGCACTGGGTGGCTGTGGGGTAAAAGGAACTCCCAGCTCCCAGGCATGGGCACAAATGCCATGGCCAAGCTTCTCCCAGCAGGAGGGTTGGCAGGGCACAAAACAAGGAAATTCTACCTCTTCATCCCATAATCATTCTGTATGGTTCTGAGAATCTGGAGGATACAGTGCTCCCTAGCTGGGCTATCAGGCCAGCACATTCCACAGGGACTTGTCAGGCGGGGCCCAAAACACCATTTTCCAGTCTTGAGTCAGCATGGGATATTTATTAAAAACAAGAGATGTGTTCTGGTGAGCTTTGGGCTGTTTCTGACAAAGCTCTTTCTAGCTGCTGTGGCAAAGATAAGGAAAAGTCTGGATTCCTTCCTCAGCTGACACTATTGTCTTAGGAAAGACCCCTGGAGGGGCGGGTGGCATTGAGTTGCATTCACAAGGCATGTGCCTCCCCTCCTTCAGGCACAGGCATTTGGGATTCTCCCTCTGCCCTTGTAAAGGCATTTTTTTCTTGGGAAGCTTTGGGGATCATGAAGCCAGAATTCAGAAAGCTTCAGCAACTTCTCCTGGAAAGTATCTCGAGTTTTAAAAAATGCCCATTGGGAATCTCAGCATAAATGGTCTGTGGATCTGAAGGCTGACATGGAAATGTGGGGACTGTGATGTGTTGCTGTCCCTGATGTGCTCACTGATTGTTCAGGGGTTCCAAGATCTGCTCCTCCCTTCCTTCAGAAAACCAGACATTTGAATGACATTCCCCGGCCTAATTAGCTGCCTTTGTTTGCCACTCTCCAGGCTCTAACGTTTGGTCATTGTGCTCAAACTGGAGTAATTTATCCGTGGGAATGAGCTGGTGTGATGTTGGTGGGAATGGTCTGGCTGTGCTCATGGAGCAAAGCGGAAGAGAGTGGGAGCAGGGAAGAGACTTGGGGTTCATTTCTTCAGGGTATTAATGCATCATCATTCTTAATTAAAGCTGAGCTTTATTCAGGGCCTGCCCACAGCAGCTGGGTGACCTCAAGCTGCAGTGATGACACCAAGCTGGGGCTCAGGGAGCAATGTGGATATTCCAGCAAAACTGGCCTGTGCTGAGCTGGGCTCTGGGATCGCCCAAGCCCTGAGTGCTCGGGGCAAGGCAGGTTCCTCTCCTCTTGCACAGAGCTCACAGCTGAAGTCCATAAAAATTGGGGGAAAAAAGTACAGTCATTGCTGCTGACAAAACAAACTGGAGAAGGAAATGCAAATCCACACCTTCCCACCCTGCCAACGTGCTTGTTTGCGTGTCCTTTCCCAGCAGACCCGCCCGTGTGGCTGGGAAGCTCCCAGCAGTGATCTGTGCACAGGTACAGCTCCATGTCAGCCCTCAGTCCAAGGCTTCAAACTGAATGTCACAGCTTTAAACTGACAGAGAGTGGGTTTAGGGGAGATATTGGGAAGAAATTCTTCCCTGTGAGGGTGGGGAGGCCCTGGCACAGGTTGCCCAGAGAAGCTGTGGCTGCCCCATCCCAGGTTGGACAGGACCTGGGGCAACCTGGGCTAGCAGAAAGTGTCCCTGCCTATGGCAGGGGTGGGACTGGATGGGCTTTAAGGTCCTTTCCCACCCAAACCCTTCTGTTATTCTGTGATTCTCGAATTCAAGCTCCTGTGTATTTGAGAATTAAAGCAGCACAGACCACTGCGCTCTGCCAAAGGTGCTCAGCACAGCAGCTCTGTGCACAGATAAAAGCTGCTTCTAAATCAATAAGTAGTAAATGAGATGGAGTTCCCCACGCAGCTCCCAGTAATCTGTCATGGTAAAACACTGAAAATCCATTTTACAGCAAATAGTTTCTCTTTATTGCTCTTCTTAAACTAATGTGTGAGAATGACCCAAAAAAGTGCCAACGGGTTTTGGGTTGTTTTGCAGAGCTTAGAGGACAATTTACTGCTGAACACATTTGAAAGCGAAAGAGTTCAAGGTTTCAGAACCAATTCGAAGCTACAAAAATAGCGCCGGTGCCCCCAGGTGTGCGGGGAACACCGAACCCCAGCACTGCTCTCAGGGACCGACCAAGAGCCACAGGGGGTTAACAGTGACTTTACCAAAACACGGCATGCGGAGGCCGATGACGGATGCACGGTTCACAATTAGCGTTAAATTAATTGCGATTTCCCTTCCCGCCTTCCAAGCGCCGAACCCGGGGCCGGGCCGCGCCGCCAGGGGGCGCCCCGGCGCCGGCGGGGGCGGGGCGCGCGCCGACATGACCTCGTGTCACGCCGCCGCCGGTCAGCGTGGGGGGCCGGCGGGCGCGGCTGCGCCTGCGCGCTGGGGGCCGCTCACGCGGGCCGCTGCGGTTTGTCGGCCGTGGAAACCCCTCGGCGGGCCGCTGAGGGCGGGGGGCCGCGGGAGCGACCGCGGGGCCGGGCCCCGGGCCGAGCGAACCGAGCGGGGCCCGGGCCGAGCCCGAAGCGGAAACCCGAGCGGAACCGAGCGGAGGCCCGGGCCGGGCCGGGGCCAGCGGAACCGAAGCGGGGCCGGGCCGGGCGCGGGCCGAGCGCAGCCGAGGGCGGCAGCAGCAGCGGGCAGCAGGGCCGGGCGGTGAGCGCCGCGCTCGCTGAGGCCGGCAGCCCGTGGTCGTTGCGGGCGGGGGGCCGCGGCTCGCCGCGATGGGAGCCCCTGAGGGGCCCGCAGCCCCAGCGCCGAGGCCGCGGCCCGGCCAGGCGCAGCGCCGCGGTCTCTGAGCGCCGCCCGCCGCCCAGGTCGCCGCCCGGCCACCCGCGGGCCCTGCCCGACCCCGCGGCCCCGCAGCGGGCGCCGCCCGCGCCCCGCCATGTCGTGCGTCCACTACAAGTTCTCCTCCAAGCTCAACTATGACACGGTCACCTTCGACGGGCTCCACATCTCCCTGAGCGACCTCAAGCGCCAGATCATGGGCCGAGAGAAGCTGAAGGCGGCCGACTGCGACCTGCAGATCACCAACGCGCAGACCAAAGAAGGTGCGTGGGGCCGCGGGAGCCGCGCTGCGGGGATGGGGCGGGCTCGGAGCTGTGCCTTTGTAGCTGCTGCTCTCACGGCACCGTCGGAGCTCTGCTGCACGCGGAGCGCGGTGAGGGCCTCGGGCACCTCAGCGCTACAAAACCTTGATTGCCTGGAGTTCTAGGTAAAAGGATAAGGAAATGCGGGAGGATGTCTTATCGTAACAAACCTGTCAGATTTCAGAGAAATCTGAAGGTGATGGGAGTAGAACACATGGCTAATTTGAAGGAAAAATAAACCAAAAAAAATGAGTTTGGTGACTGAATTTTGTCTTCACCTTTTGCCCCCCTTCATTGGTAGCCAGGTTTGTGCCCGTTGCGGGAATTGCTCAGAAGCAACAATTTGCATCGAGTGTATCAGTGACTGTATCAATTTCTGCAACCCTTTAAAGCCTCTTGCTCGTGAGTGTTCTCTGTATTGGAATTACTTTTGGGAATTCCTGGTTAATGTAACTTTTCCACACAAAAGACACCATCATTGGGATGCTGTTGAACATCGTTTCATCATTCATGTCCACCTTTTTTTTCTTTATCTTCCTGGCACTGCGTGTTTGCCGGATCAGGGCAGCCCTGAAGTTTTATGGCAGAACATTTATGATGTATATATGTACGAAATATTCTTCGTGAAGTCATAAATTCGTTTAAATCTAATAGTGCTTGGTTCTGCGAGGTGATTATGGGCTTGTGTTACTATGGTGCTTCAGTTCGGTAATCTGCCATCTTGCTAAGTTTAAATGTGACTAAAGACTAAGGCATGTGACTTTTCAGAAATAAAAAGAATTGTATTTTCATCCCTTAAACGTTAAAACTGTTTATTTTTTTCCCCTGTGGTTCTTTGTCACAACAGTCTTTTCTTTAAAATGTGTACTAGTGTTTTTTTCTCTGCCTGTTTCACATATTAAAACTTAATCAGAATGCTGTGTGACTTCGGCCCTGGCCTTTAAAGGGGTCAGACTTAAAGCTTCTGTTTCTCTACAAATATTTAAGTTATTTTCAGGAGGGTGTGGAGAGTCTTCACAGTGCTGGAAGTGTTGGGGAAGTTGTTGGGTTGCGTGAGGAACACAGAGACAGAGACACAGTTCAGAAGTCTTGAATCTTTCGAGTAGTATTGAATAAAATTTTCAAAAGCTTTTGAAAAATAAGTTTGATTTGCTTTAAGGGCTGTGCTGCAGGAGAGTCCCTGAGCTGTCCTCGGTTGCTGAGGCACTCGGGCCTCCCAGCTGCAGGAGCTGCCTGATGTCATCCTGGGCCGGTGGGGGCTGTGGGAAGGAGCTGTGATGGAGCCCAGTTATGGACACCAGGACAGAAAACGCTTTGAAATAGGCCAAACACGTGGGGCTTGTTGTAGCAGGTGAACAGAAAGCAAAGTTTTTAGAAGAAAAAATGATGCTCATAAATGTCACCTCATGAAGTGTTACTGCAGCATCCAACATACCAGATTTACCAGGGTGTTACTTTGTTTTCATACATAACCAGAGTCCAGGGAAGGAAGAGTGTTTGCCTTACTAGAAGCTGTTAAATGTGGTGTTGCCTCAAGGTGAAGTTAAAAAAGGATTATGCTGAGTCCTTTGGGCAGATTGTGTTGTTCAAAATGAATATAAAATTATAAATATATATAAAATACGTAATTTAAAATTCTATAGTAGTGACACAGATGCTTATTGAAGCTTTCCTAAGGGTGTTTTCCATGTGAACAGGCAAAAATCCCCCTGTGGTTTGCAGAGCAAAGCTAGAGAGTGCATTTCAAAAGTATATGTCTGCCAAATCTTTGGTTTATAAATGTGAATTTCTGTTTTTATTAATCAGATATAGATGCTTAAGCTCACCTGCAAAAATTAAAGTAAAAACTTGATCAGGATATTCTGCCTAAGTGGGATGTTTGGAATTCTTACATGTGGACATGAGTGTTGGTGTTTTATAACCTTGTCTGTGCAAGAGTCCTGAGTAAACATTGGAATGGTCTTGGGAAGAACAAAGTGCCCCCTGAGTGGAGATGTGCTGTGCGGTCACATTGTTCCCAGGTCCAGGAAGCTTTTACAGTTCAGGAGCTGTTACTTTTCCTAATGGAAAGCTAGTAATAGAAGCAGTGCTAATATAAGCTGAAAGTAAACAGGATTTTAAATATCAGTGGGGAAAAAAGGATGTGATGGACTCTGTGAAATTCTGGGAATGCAAACTGGGTGGGTGGGACCTGTTCCATAAAGGAGGGATCCTCTTCCGTGCCTGTTGTTGAGGCATGTTCTGTAAAGCCTGCACTCAAGAGTGATGCTTTTAAACTTGCCTCTGTTTCATTGGATCTGGATTTCCTGACCTGTCTTCTCTAACAGGTGTTCTCACAATCTGTGAAGAGCTGCAAACTCCAGAACTGAGGTTTCTCAAGTGCTCTTTCCTGCCCTGTGAAGTTCTGACTCAAAGCGCTTGGAAATTGTGCCGTTGTACTTACTGGGCAAAATACAAAGGAAATTAATTGAATAAATAAATAGAAGCTGTGCCTCTGAACTGGTGTGGGCTGAGTGTTTTGGAGGCAGAGGAGTGCTCGGGCACTGCAGCCCCACCTGACAGCACCCCAGCGAGGGGCGGGCAGTGTAATCCAATTAACGAGTGGAAGGAGGGCAGATTTGATGGACTGCTCCCTTCAGAGCAGTGCAGGGGCTCCTGTGGGGCACAGTGCCCTGGGATAACAGTGCAGAGGGAGCTCCTCTGGCCTCCTGAGCCAGCTTGCTCCAGGAGTGATGATCTGCCTGTGTAGGTGAGATCAGTGATGCCTGTTCTGGGGGAAGCAGAAAATCCAGCAGGAGTGGCCCAGTCTGTTCCTCGGGATGTTTCAAGGCTGCTTTCAGAGCCAGCTACAGCGATGGCTTGTCACAGAGTGAGCAAGTGCAGGTGATTAGAACAGGGCTAACAAATCCTGTCATGAGGGAGTGGAATTTTAAGCACTAGAGAGAAAATGTGTTTTTAGGAATTCTCTGTGTTCTGGTGGGGACAGCCTGGCCTATTAGCAGGCATTCCCAACTCTTACCTACACATCCTGGCCCCAGAGCATAACAGCTGCTTTGCAAGGCTTTTCCCTGACCTTTCACACCTAGACTTGCCTTCTGAGAACTCCTGGTGAGTTCTGTACTCCAGTTGGGAAGTACTCTGGAGAGAGTGCTCAGAGCTGCTCCAGCAATGCTGTCACACAAAATGGTGGATTAAAGCAGGCCAGAAAATAATGGGGAAACTTCTGTCAGTAACTTGTTTGTAGCATACATAGAACACAAATTACTAAAACTAGTAGATTTTTGAATTATAGATTAATTTGAAAATTGGATGTTTAAATTCTGCATTAAATGTGAAGCAGCAGAAACTTCAGAACGTAGCTGAGCTCTTTGCACTTTGCAGTAAGAATGTTGTGGGCACTAATGCAGTTGTTGATGTCAGATTTCTAAGTCAATGTGAGTCAGCAGTCAGGGTAGCTGCTGTTAACTAGTCTGCATCCATTCATTCCTTGAAATACTTCTTTCCCTGGACCTCTTTCAAGCTGCTGTTTTCTTGGAGGGATAAATAGCAAGTTTTAGACTGTTACATCTCGTCTGCTCTTGCCTTTAATATCCAGATCTTTCTTTGCTTTTGCAAGCATTTTGAGTTAGTTTAGTCTTTATTTTTAATCACAGTTCAGATTGACAAAATCCAGTAGCCACTTCTTGGCCATTACTGGTGGTAGAACAAGTTTGTGCTAGAAGCGAGTGGGAGTGAATGATGTTACCTCCAGCTTTGAGCATTTCTGTTGGAGCTCTGCTTGGACAAGTGTGAGGAGCAGCTCTGTGAAGTTGGCCTCACTGCTCCCACAGCAAGGCAGTGACAGGGCTAAGCAGGTCCTGGGAGTTGAGTCTGTGCCAGGGGATGTTGTTGCCCATGGGGAACAGGCCCTGCTGGGAGATGCCAGTTTAATCTGAAAGCCTTTTTGTGGAGCTGCTGTTTCTTATCCTGTATTTCTGAAATCTCAGTCCAGTGGTTTGCGATCTGGACCAGAAAGGACACTCTGACTCTGTTCCACTGGTAGAAACAGCTGCTTTGGCTTCTAGAAGTGCAGCTGGCACCATCTCCCAGGTGTTTGTCTGGGCCTCAGCACTGTTTGAGCTCCTTCTCCATCTGAAAGTCCCAGTGCAGCCTCTTGACAGGTGGCTGTGTGAGGAGCAGAGCTCTAGGGCTTGTTCCAGGATGTGACTTGTGTTAGAGCTGCTGGTTTTGTCACTAATAGTCCCTCATCCTACAGTTTGAAATTGCTGTGCAGTCCAGAGGAATGTTGCTGTTTGGTTCCCTGGGGGGGGGGGAAGGCCAGGAATTAGTCTCAGCTAAATGATTTCTCAGTTTTCTGAAGAAAAATTCTGTTAGTTTGAAACAGAAATAAGATATTATTTCATGGTTGAAAGGAATTCTTCTTGTGGGTATGTTTGGTCTAAGGGAGGTTCCTGCCTTTAGGAAGAATCTGTTCCTGCCTCCTGAAAAATGGAGCATAAATTTTGAAATACTTGTATTTTGTGTGTGTGATCACTGAGCAAAACCACTGTGGAACTTCACTAGATACACAGCAACTTTGGGCTTCAGACCATTGTTCTGATTCGGAGTACAGAGTTAAGGGCTTGGAATATATAACATTGCAGGCACATCACAAGGAATGGCTGCTCATGGTGCTTTGCAGTATTTAGCCATATCCAGCCTGTGTCAGTTCTATATAAAAATCATTCTCGTGGAGAGGTCTTTGAGTTTTAAGCTTACTCAGAGTGTGTCTGTGAGTTGGGGTTTTGTTTAGGCCTCATGTAAAAGGTCAGGAGGCTTTTCTCCTCCTTGGACAAGCAGCACAGTGCAGGCCAAGGCTTTTCAGGGCTGTCTTCAGAAGTCATTTTGTCTGAGTCTCTTTTCCCTGCAGAAAGTGAATGGAAAGAACTCATGTCCCCTTGGTTAATTGAGACTGGATGATGAGCTTAAGGAGGGAGGTACCACTTTAGTTTGAGCCATTTCTGCCCTACTTGTGAAAGCAAATTCAGAAGCTCCCCCAGGTTTCTGTGCTCCAAACTCCAGTGGTGCCAGTTTCATTTCCATTTCTATGCCAGGCCTTGAGCAGCTGCACGGTGAGGCTGTGGATGGTTCAGCTCCAAGAAGCAGAGCTGGCAGCTCTGCTCCCTCTGCCTGAGCACGGCAGCCAGGGGGGAGTCAAGTGTAGTTAACACAGGGAAGGCACTGGTGCAGTTTCCCTGCTTTAGCCAAGTGCCTGGTTTGTTCAGGACAAGCAGTCACAGACTTTAGAATCTGTTTTATGCAGGTGAGACTTGGCTGTGGTTTGTTTTTCTCCAGAGATTTCTTGATTTTTGTAGTCAAACAGAAGCAAAAGCAACTTAAGGCAGGGAAGATCAGGCTCTGCTTTAGTGTCTTTGAGACTGTTTTGCTGTTGGCATTCAAACTAACTCTAAAAAATGAGAAAGATTTTGCTGCTTGATTATCAAATCCGAAGATTCCTTGACAGGTGCTGTTGGTGTGTTGAGAGGATAAAGTGAGATGTTATATATAAAATTTTGCTTTTAGATTTGTAAGGAGTTTCTTCAAAGTGCTCCACGATTACCTATTAAATACGTTCTTACAAATTGAGTAATGTTTCTTCTGTATTGGTGTTGTTTTCAGAATACACCGATGACAGTGCCCTGATTCCCAAGAACTCCTCGGTGATTGTGAGGAGAATCCCCATTGGAGGAGTGAAAGCTACAAGCAAAACATACGTTATGTAAGTACCCCAGCACTGGCTTCCTTGGGAGGGGTCAGGGGCACGCTGGTACTGACAGCAGGGACAGAGCCCCTCACATTGGATCTTCCTTGTTAGGGCTGCTGCTGCTGTTTGTTGGCATGAGGTGGATTTTGATGTCTGTCCCAAAGGAGACTTAGATTTTGAGGTCTGCTGGGACATGGGGCTCAGACTCCAGTAATGGTAACTTTTAAGGTGGTTCTATTAAGTTTGTTTTGGGTTGATCTTTCTGAGATCCAAGAGCAGATCCTGTTTCCTCTACATGGGGAGATTCCTTATTATATGTGTTTGCTTTCTTAGTAAAGGCAGTTATGCATTCTAGTGTAAACTTAGCATTTGTTTCCATCTCAGAAGACTCTGATTCTGGGTGTTTGACTATTTCCTGCATTTGGGGGAGGTGGGGCAGGACATGGCAGGTGGTTTTGTGCCTCACATCAGGGAGGGGGTTGTATAGTAGCTGGAGAGGAAAGGCCAGGGGTTGCCTGCTGGTGACTCATGCAAACAAGAAGGTTCATTCTGAAGTGATTGCTGTTTCCTGCAGTCAGGGTCTGTTCCAGGCAAGACAGAAAGCACCATACCCTAAAGCCTACTGGCTTTTGTGCGAGTACCATGAAGGAATAGTTAGTCCTTCCCAAACTCAAATCTCAGAGGCAGTTTAGCACATTACCAAATGTGCTGGTTACCTTTCTGAGTCTGTCTGTACCCAAGCTGGGACCTGTGCTCCAGGCTTTAATTCTGTATTCCTGAGATTTACTGAGGACAGAGAATCAGGTGTATTGATTAAAATCACAGATACTCAAATGCAATCCTGACCGTAGGATTATTGCTACATTGATGTTTTCATACAGTTCAGATCTATAATAGCTATATCAGCATTGTTGGAATGGGCATGTTTTCCAGCTTCCTTAAAGCCTCTCCACCACCAGCAGGATATTATACACTGCTGGTTTTGTCATGTCCTTCTAATGTTGGTTCTCAATAAATAAAGTACCCTGAGGAGTTACCGTGTCTTGAACAAGCAGTACAACATCATCCTGGTACCCATAAAGCATTTGCAAGCAAAAAGCTCTGGACTGATGTGGCTCTGTGTGTAACCTTGGGGCCTGTTGGTGCAGTGCTTCCAGGCACTCCCTCGAGACTGTGGACCCACAGCACTGTGCTTGTAACCATGGCCTAGCTTTGGGGGTTCATTTCAGTATGTGCTGAGAGCTGTGCTGTCAGTGCACCCTCCCCTTGGGTTGGATGGCACCTCCCCTGCTGCTGTAACCCTGCCCTAAAATGGGAGGACAGATGCTGTTGGCATCAAAGATCACATCAGTACCAGTGTGGGGCTATAAGGAAAGAACAGCACTGCTGGGGTAGAGCTGAAAGGAAACCAGCAGGTGAGCTTTCTGTTCTTCAGCTGGAAACATGGCAGAAGCCCCTGCTGTAGAGTGGTTAATGTTTGGGGTGGGGAATGTCTGCTGGAGTGGTGGAGAGGCCTTCAGAAAGGCCTTACCCACCTTGCAGTAAATGGCTGAAGCCTCCACTCTGTGGTAATCTAAAGTATTTTGGTGTACTTCCTCACCTTCTGGAGGTACATGGTGCAACTGGGAGCCTGGGAGGGATTAGCACTGGCAGGAAGCTGAGCCTTTTCATTGGTAGGTAAATTCCCCAGCAGCCTTTGCATTGCCTCTGCTCATGGGACACTTTGGATGATGTGTGGATTGTTTGTTAACTCTCT